AGCTGAATGACTCCAGGATTCGATGAAATATGGAAGCTTTAAAAAAATCTTAAGTCAATACAAATTAAAACAAATCATCAAGATCATTTCAGAGCTCTAAAGGAACTAAAACATGATACCACCAAAGTACTGATGTATCCCTGAAAGTGGCAGCAGATGGATAGTAGGTGGCAAACAAGACTCAAATCTGAAAACAGGGATGCAGAAAACTACAGACAATTGCAGTCTTCTAGTTTCTACCAAACAGGGATTTCTACTGCCAGTCTGTGGAGATGCTTAAGGAGGAGTTAAGGATGCTTAAGGAGGAGTTAAGTGATCAAACTGATACAGTATGCCTGGAGTTTCAAACAGCATTAGAAATCAAGCTTCCCAGAAATAAAAGGAAAAGTCCTCTTGTTAATTATTGTCAAGTTAACGGAAAGGAAGCAGGAGATAAAAGGTCAATTCTCACACTGGTGACATAAGATCCCCAAGGCATCCTGGTGAGGCCGCATCTGGAATATTGTGTCCAGTTCTGGGCCCCACAGTTCAAGAGGGACAGGGAACTGCTTGAGAGAGTCCAGCACAGAGCCACCAAGATGATTAAGGGAGTGGAGCATCTCCCTTGTGAGGAAAGGCTGAGGGAGCTGGGTCTCTTCAGCTTGGAGAAGAGGAGACTGAGGGGAGACCTCATTAATGTTTACAAATATGTTAAGTGCGAATGTCATGAGGATGGAGCCAGGCTCTTCTCAGTGATGCCCAATGGTAGGACAAGGGGCAATGGGTGTGAGCTGGAACACAGGAGGTTCCGCTTGAACTGAGAAGAAACTTCTTTACAGTGAGGGTGACAGAGCACTGGAACAGGCTGCCCAGGGAGGTTGTGGAGTCTCCTTCTCTGGAGACATTCAAAACCTGCCTGGACGCCTTTCTATGAGATCTCATTTAGGTTCCTGCTCCGGCAGGGGGACTGGACTGGATGATTTTTCGAGGTCCCTTCCAATCCCCAACATTCTGTGATCTATACTGGAACTTACATTTGTGATTTACAGAAATAGGCCAATATCTTTGTAGAGGTGACAAACTTCATCCTCACACTATTCAGGACTGATAAATGATGAATTATATTTTATTGTCTTTATGGAATTTAAATATTCTTTATGAAAGGAGACCTCTACAAGAGAGGGAGATCCAGATAAAAATAGCTACAGCTAAATTCTGGAAAACATCTTAGCACTGTATGAAGTCAGCAATATTTCGTGGTCAGTCTGGCAAAGACAGCTCTAGATCAATAGCATCTGCAACTTTATTTCATGTCTGCTCCTCATTAATAAGACAGCACTCCAATCACTGATGGATGGTTGTTTTAAGTGGGCAATGATTAGGCCTGCAGTCAGACAGGAGGCCAAGATCATGAAGTTAGGTTGAAGAGAAGCACTGTAACTCCTCTTTAAATGTGGCTATAAACTAACTAGATGATGCTTCATTACTTTTTTTTTCTACTTTTTTTTTTTCTTTTTTACTTTTAATTAACAGCTGTTAGAGGGTAATAGATGAAACTCATATTGTTGCATATAACACCTTTGGTATACCAGAATTTTACATCAGACTAGTAAGTACCACAAAGCATTTGTAAAACAAATCTTTCCCT